ATTAAGCAACTTTCATTGTCATCTGAGAAGGGATGACAATGGGTAGGGTCTATATAGGGTCTTATAATACTCATTCCGATACCTACGTTTAAAAAGAATACTCGTACCTAGCTCCATACCTATGCGAGTAATAATTTTAATCTCCATCTCCATACTTGTTGGTCACCTATGTATCCATACACGCACCTGCAACCCACATTTTACTTATATATAAAATAAATATATCAATAAAGATATAATATTTCATACAAGTAAACATAATATTAATTTGTCAAGTTTTTAACATTACAAAAATCCAACATAGCAATTCTTATAAATAAAGATTACAAAACATTTAATTCTTATAAATAAAATTTTAAGAAAATTAACATAATAAAAGTTGTAATTAAACTTCCAACATCATGATCATGTATTAATAATATTCTCCAAGACCTGTGAAAAAAAATACAGCAATTAGTTAGATTAAAATTATAGATTAAATTATATACTATAAATTTCAAAAGACAAATATGTAAACATTTGACCTCATCATCGGAATCAACTTCTCCATATTTTTGCAAACGCTTGACTTACAAGTTTATATATTATTTTGGTTCAGTAATACAATAAAAATTACATGACAAGAAAATGAATGATTAGATAATTTAAATTGATAATTAAAACAAACAATAAAAAAATAAAATAACTTTTATTAAATAAACAAAGTTTAATTATTTATTATCTTGTTGTTTGTATTTCAATTAACTTTGTGCACACATAAGTGCCCCTGAAGTAAATTCATAGAACCTAGAATGATGAGTATGTGCTAAGTGCAAATTCTAAAACTACGATTGAAATCGGGATTGTCAACATCTTTAACAATTTTTTACAAAATTGGATACTTAATCCCATTTGTTTTCCACCATCCAAGAATGTCAAAAATAGTACTCATAGGCACAACTTTTTCTTCTAAGTAGAGCTTTATTTCAAACTTTGTATTTCAATTGTATTATCCACAAATGTGTTATAATTATTGAGAAAATTTTTAATATTTAGATTATCCAAGTTTGACTTAACATTTGCTCGTGAAGTTGAAAATTTCAATATTCTTTTAGCTTTAGTTTGATAGTATTCAAATAATGAATAACATAATTTTTTAATATTATTAATTTTGTTTTGCTCCCAAATTTATGCCCTTTTTTCATTAACAATAATCACCAGGAGAGTTGAGAGGGACGGTTGTTTGACGTGCTTGCTATGACAAGCGTGGTAAAAAAGAATAAGTGGTGGTGGCGTTGGAGCAAGTCACCAAACGTGAAAAGAATCCAAGAAGAACTTGAAAACCAGTTGGGTTTACAACTTCATGATAAAACAACTCCTCAAGAAAGAGCTAGTCGATTGTGCGAGAGGATAAAAATGGAGGATATAAGATCCTTATCGTCATAAATGTCCTTTGGGGTGGAATCAACTTCGATAAGATAAGAATACTATTTGGAAATCATCACAAGGGTTGTAAAATTATGTTGGTGGCAGAAAGTGAAGAAATGTTATCAAACCAAATGAATAGCCCCCAAATACAAATATCCGTCGAGTCTTCATGAAGACTGCATGCTTAAGAAATGTTACAATGTATTACATTCAGTATTTACAAAGTTAATTTTGAATAATGGAATTAGTTTTGTAGAATTGATTCTAGAGTGGAGTGATTTCTGTATGAATATTTTTATTCTAAAAGCAGGCTAACAATAAAGTTTAGTATAATTTTTGTTTATCAAACACCAAAGCTATCTAAAATTATTAGTTCAACTTCAAATTAATTTTGGACTCTATATATATTTTTTAACCCAGAACAAAACATCTGAACATTTATTTAAAATCACTCTAATTTATATTTTGTGATTTTATATAATATAAAATGAATCTAAACATTGAAAAAACAAATTATATAGAAGAAATGATGAAAACAATATTATATATTGCTTTTCTCTATTCTTTATTGTAAGAATTTTTTTTTTCTGTTCATAAATATAATTAAATTTCAATTATTTTTGTCTTATTTAATGATATTTTTTCTAAATTTTTTTTAATGTATAACTTTTTAGTTGTATTATACTTTTCTGACATTTATAACAAGAATAATTTAAAAAGAATGTCATAAAATTAATAAAATTTAATATGAATAGCTATTTTTTTTAATATGCTTAAAAGCATTTTTTTTTTAACAAGAGACCTGATGTATATTTTATGAAAATCCATATGGTGGGTGGTTCCTTCTTAATTCTTCTTGATACAATTGACTCAATCTAATATAATGTGTTATATGATATAGATAAAGTTTGATGACGATCATAATATGATAATTATAAAAATGAATATAGAAGAGAAAGGGTGCACGGTACCCATTAACCTTATGTACACACTTAATACGTTGGGTGGCGAACTCTCCAATTTATATTTGCAAGTAGTTACGTTACGTAAGTCTTCTCGCGCGGTTGTAACATACATAGCATATTAGCATATGAAGTTTGCACTAATAATTAACCATTATTTTTCTCTCAAATGTCAAATGGTATATGCCCTTGGTGTGTCTATCTCTATCTATCAATATAATATATGTAAATAAATAAATAAGGAATAATTCTTATCGTCATTTAGTAAATCGAGTTAATTTTAAATCTATATTCTAAGACTAATCCTGCAGCTTGTATATGACTTCCCTTTCGGGTTATATATATAAGCTCTTGTTCATTTCATTTAATTCTTCAATATCTTCCACAAAATATAAACCCAGTTTAAATCTAAACTCCACCGAACTATTATATATGATATGTTTAGATAATTTTTTTAGAAATTTAAGGAATTTAAAATTTTTTAAAATGTAAATTATTTTAATTTTAATTTTTATCATTTTTTAAATATTTTGTTTGGATAAATCAAATCAAAATTTTATTTTTTTAATTTAAATATGATAATTTAATTTTCATCATGGTAAATATGGTTATATATATAGAGAGAGATTTTAAAATTAAATTTTATAAAAATAAATACTAGTTAATTTTTAAATATTAATAATTTTAAAAATTAATATTATATGATATTTTATAATTAAAAAATATTTTAAATATTTAATAATTAAAAATATTGATATTTTTTTATATAAGTTAATAAGAAAGAAAAAATATGAAGAATTTTAAATTCTTATTTTTTTTTGGAAGAATTTAAAATTCTACTATTTCAAGAAATTTCATAAATATTTAAATTTTAAATTCTTAGTAAATTCTCCATCCAAATAAAGTATTTCACTTCAAAATATTTAAAATTCTTCAAAAAATTAAATTACTACATTTAAATTCTCCATCCAAACACACTTGATATTGGTCCTTCACACCAAATCAGGGAGTCAACTATATTAATGTTAAAAAATTTAAAGTAATGTGGGGCTTTAATGGAGAAAGAAAGACTAACATAATAACAACTTAATAAAAAAGAGTAATAACACGGTAGAAATTAAATCCCCAAGAAACACTAATAAAATAGAGCAAAAACAAATAACTTAAATACATAAGCGACACATTTTTAATATGCAAAACCCCTCACATAAAGGTAAAAATCATGATTGGTCATAATGAAAAAAAAATTCTACTATGATTAATAAACGATATACAAGAGTCTCCGATAAATACATCAAACAATACTTATAATTGATCAAAACAAACTAAATACAATTGCTTACAAATAAGAAATAAGAGAATGAAAAAATCTTAAATATAGTAGTTATTGTTAGACGTTTTTCTTCCACTCTAAACTTCCTTTTAACAATCCAACCATTGAATATGAAATGTCACGTTGTGCAAATATGTTGTCCAAAAATTAACCTAATTCAACGTAAACGAATATCCAATTGCAATTCAACAAATGTTATTAGATGGATATGCAAAATGAAGAACAGAACTTTCTCTCTTGTCTTCTCTCTATATTTTATTATTATCTTTTCTCAAAATGCGTCACTCTTACATTTCTTACCTGACTCATCTTTACTTAATTAAATGAGACATAATAAACTTATACATTTTAATATCCAATTGGGAAATTGGGGATTGGATCGGATAGGGACATTTTAGAAACATCACTTTTTCAGCCTCAATGACTATAGCACAACTTGGAGCCCCAAGTAGAGAGGAACTCAACAAGAACATATTGTGGATTGTGTAACGCTTGAATGTTTCTAATCATCTTATGTGCTGGAATTAACTTGGATATAGTAGGAATACCGTTCGGAATTCACGTACATAAAGATTGCAAAATAGTCTTGTTATCGCCGTGTCCAGAGGTTTTGTTAAACTAAATGAATAATGCAATGAATTACTCTTGCAAGTCTAATTACTTTTTTTAATTTTTTTTTTACATTCCAAGCAATATTTCAAAATTAATAATTAAAAATTAATTTATAATTACGAAACCTAACTTTCCTTCATGAAATATTATTTTAACACACGACTTGTTAGAATAAATTAAGTAGAAAATAGAAAAGAATCTCTTTCAAGCTCTAGTCTTTCCGATCAACAAAAGCATTTTTCTTCCTTGTTCCATTTAATTGAAAGCAAAACAACCTTGTTTTTTTAACCATTTTATGTTTACTTGAAGCTCAGAACCATAGTGTTGTGCTGGTGGATTGTTAAGATGGAAGAATGTATAGAAGTCATAATAGAATATTATGATGAATGAACCTGGCTTCAATCTGGTTTGTTTATCTCCCAGACTGCAACAATAAATTGACTTCATTTATGTTTAATTGTTCAACAGGGAGTAGTGAGACATTTATTAGTTTTCCAAACTGGCTTTTGGATGAATAGTTGAATAAAAATGAATAAATAAAAAGCTTTTAACAGTTACTACAGCTTGCTTGATTGTGATTGATTTGGTTTCACATCTGCTTACCTGAATGATAATGGAAGGTACTTCTTTTATAAGCTCACACACAACCAAGTGAGATCTCACTTCTCATTCAATTTTCCCTGCATTTTCAAGAAAAAGGCCAAATCATACAGCAGCCAAATCCACTTCTCACTCACATTATCTGCCACGATAGACCACCTTAATCTTCCTAATTGATGGAGAAAAGATATCCCCACAAAATACAACCATAAGTTATTTTACAACTAACCTTGCACCTAATTATAAATTATCATTCACTTAGCATATATAAGCACCATACCCGAAATCACCTTCCACACATCAAACATTCTTTGCAATTACATCTTCCAATTCATTAGCAAGTTAGCAGTAAATTAACCTACCGCAACAAGAAGATGAAGCAAACTCTCTTCTTCTTCTCACTCCTACTATTTGCTCCCATTTTCTCATTCACCACTTTAGCTCAGTCACCAGCTGCAGCCCCTAAAGCCTCAGCAAAACCTGCACCTGCAAAACCTGCCCCCGCCACACCGGCTCCAGCTCCTGCAAAACCGTTGGTCCCGGCATTGCCTAATTCACCCTCATCAGGTCCTGATTCTTCTGGCAGCCAAGACATTGTGAAGATTCTAAGGAAGGCCAAATCATTCAACACACTAATCCGGTTGCTGAAAACCACCCAAATCATCAACCAAGTGAATGCACAACTTGTGACCTCAAAAAACGGAGGCTTAACCATCCTTGCACCAGATGATGGTGCCTTCTCAGAACTGAAAGCAGGTTACTTCAACTCCTTGGGAGATAGGCAACAAAAAGCACTGATACAGTTCCATGTTCTTCCCGTTTATGTCTCCAGCTCCAACTTCGATTCTCTGAGCAACCCTGTGCTTACACTGGCCAGTGATAGCCCCACAGGGTATCAGATAAATGTGACAGCATATGGTAACAGTGTGAACATATCAACTGGGGTGGTGAATGCCACACTCACTGGCATTGTATACACTGATAAGACACTTGCCATATATCATGTGGACAAGGTGCTCATTCCTTTGGACTTCTCTAAGCCTAAGGCTATAGCTCCAGCACCAGCTGTGGCCAAGGCACCTAAGGCTGATAAGGATAACTCTTCAGCACAAGATGAAGATCAGGCTCAGTCATCCAAGGACAGTTCTGCTGCCGTAAGTTTAGTTAGCACTTATGGGACAACCTTGGTTTCCTTTGGAGCTGCTCTTCTTGCTACAGCAGCTACAATGTCGTGTTAACTGATGAAGAACATCCATTTTCATGTTTCTCACGTGTTATGTTGTCAAAGATAATCCTAAAACTTTAATTTTGCTTTCCATGTTCCTAATGGATTTGTTTATGATACCATGTTTCATCATGTATTGCTTTCAGTTTCACAAGAAAAAGAAAATTGTTTAACAATTTTGGTTGAAAAGCTTCTTTTAACTTAAATTTTCTTTATTCATTGTTCCACAATGGTTGACTTGCATCATTTGTTTATTCAAGATGAGAGCGAAAGAGAAGTTAACGTTTGTAACCTTTTTTATTTGTTACTTCGTTTATTTATTTTTAGTAATTTTTTCATTTTATTTTATATAAGTTAAGATCTAAGACAATCCCATAAAGGAATTTTATATAGTTTCCTTACACTTTTAATTTGTGCCAAGTTTGTACATGTAATGTAACATCTAGATGCTATCATAAAATGAAGGATTGTTTAAGACATCATTCACTAGTCTTCAAGGATCTCAAAAATTAATGTGCATGTAAAACTATTATTAATATTATTAGAATCCCCCCACCATTGTGAAATATCACAAGCCTCTTATCCACTGTTAGTCATGTTAGATCACGACATTTAAATAGTTTGAAAAACATATTAGCATATTTTCTTATAGAGACATTGTTGTAAAAATATAAAAAAGTAAAATTAATTTTACGAAATATCAAGATTGTTGGTATAATTAACTTTTTATTTAATAAGTCAATTTTGTCCTATAATTTGAGCATTAAAATGGTTAAATTTAATGATCAAAATTGAAAATATATATATTTGTTAAGTCTCAATTATACCTCTTTTTGGTTGAGACTTAGTGAATTAATCCACTCATCCTTTGCACCATTGCAAGACAATTGTCCCCTTTTTGATTCACTTTTTGTGCAGATATAGTTAACCCATATTTAGCTAACAATACCTTAATACACCTTATTTTTTGTGTAGGTATTGAGCTAGTGAATTGAGGATGGAAGACCTTAGGATTGGAAATCTAAGGAGTAGGGAGCAGAGCAGAGTGGCAGCGCCGGGCGCAATATGACCCGCGCTGGGCTAGATAAGAACAGAGTGTTCCACCTCTGAAAGTCACGCCTGCGCTGGGCGCGAGACTACCTCCGCCGGGCGCGATCGAGACAGAGAGTACCTTGAACTCTCTGGAAGACATTGCGCCGGGCGGAATTGCGCCGGGCTTGTGTTGAGACAGAGAGTGCTTGACTTCTCTGGAAGAACTTGCGCCGGGCGCGAAGAATTATGCGCCGGGCGCGGAACCCTAATCTGATCTCCCCAAGCTCGTATTTGAAGCCATTTTCGAGAGTTTTCTCCCTCATTCACGT